TTCACCTCAGGGCTGCACTGGATTAGCATTTCATGAGGAAATCTGTTCTGTGGAGTCTGTAGCCATACAATTCTCTGCAACTTCCACACTGTATGAATCTCCTGGAAAAAGATGGCAGTGGCAAAGATCATTGTTATTGAACTCACGTCTGCTTACAGAACACTCCAGAGAACAAAACCCAAGCAGAGGTAGTGTCCACCCTTCCCTGCACTAAACTTCCCGGATGGAATGAGGGAGGCTGATACAGTCAGAGTGGATCTGACCTCCTTCTCTCCATGTTTCACTTTCTGCTCTTCAGAGAGGAGACAATGTGACTCATATGTAAAACATCCATAATAATACAACCAGCCTCCAGCTGATTAGTGCCCCAGAGACTGCTGGATTGAGAGACTGGGGTGGTCTTTTCATGGCTTATGTGAAAAGATTTCTTGGCAATGGTTCCAGCAATGGACTTTATTTAGCACTGTTGGCTAGAAAACTTGTTGGAGTCTCTAGGCAATCTTATAACCCTTTCACTTCACAGCCTAATTTAAAACATTAGTGTGTATGTGGTGATTGGCAATAAAATACAGAAAAATCTCAGACTAGAGGAAGTATAGGCTTTGTGGGTTCTTCCCTAGGTCCCACCCATCACTGACACACCTGGGATACAAAAAGGAAGAATGACAGCACGGTCATGTTTCAGCAGTGTCACGCACCATGAACCCATGGCAAAATAACTATAAAATTCCTAGAGAGAGATTTACCTTAGCAGAAATGTTGTGGCCAAAGTAAAGTCAGCTGTTTGAAGAAGGATGTGAACGTATGTGCTACTAGATTTATAACTGGGTGCTTACAGTGACCAGTTCTTAAGGAATATATTGCAATAAACTGAAATAATTCAGACAGGTATGAAAACTTGCATGCTATTTTTATGTAATTTTATTTCTGTTTAGTTGGCAGCTAACTGCTTAACTTAAGGGTTGATTCCCTATCTGCTTATTGTTTAAGCAGTGTTTGATTCAAGTATCTGTCATTTCTAGTTTCGCTGTATCTCAGAAGGGAAGATTTTGAGCTGAAGAACAAGTACTTTAAGATGAAACCACCTCCTTCAACACCAAACCTTCTTGCAGAAAGCTACTTAATTTCCAACAATTAAAAATTATTTATTTGATAAATATACTGTTTTCCTGGACAAATCAAAGAAGCTGCATTTGCAAATTCTGTACAGTAGGTGAGCAAGTGCTTATTCTTTGATTGATGCTGTCTTTAATTAGTGTAAAAGTCAGCTTTTTAACCTATGTGGGATAGTCTATTAATGGGCAAGAAAATGCAGCATGAATAAGCATTGGAACAAAAGGGATTAATATAGTTAAATTTTGTCTGTACCACTTGTACTTTGTACAAACTGCAGAAGACTTAATGCTGAAAGAACCCTAATGACTTGAGATTTCAAGGACATTTTGTTTCCAGAGCATAATTATTGTGGCAATGCCAGGCGTGGTAATGGATCACTTAGCACTCTACGACTTTTCTTTGAACTAAATGCTTCATGGGCAGCAAGAGAAGTGTTACCTAGGCCTGTGCAAAGTCAAAATGCCTGCTGAACTTGTACAGTTTGGCAATAAGCTGTAGATGCTTTGTAGACTGCCAAGAAACCACATTGTACTCAACACAGAGTACATAATAGCAGCAGCAAATAATGAAAAAGCAGGTAGTTACCTAGGGAAAAAAACCCCAAACCCTTCCCCAAGCCCCCCAACAACACAAAATAAACTATGCTAGTCTCAGGTCTGCCCCAGGGATCACTTCCCTAGCTTGTTTATGCTTGCTGGCAAAATAGTTCTTCTCAAGGATGCATTTTCCTTATGTATTTCACTCATGAAAACTAATGAAGCACTTCGTTTTATACTTTCCAAATGAAGGATTTGCTATGGAAACAGTAAGACCCAAGAAGCCAATTACCTACTAATGATGTCTTTATGTGCTTGCTATTCGGATTAGAGTGAAATGTAAGGCTCACTTTAAAATTTAAAATGCCTTGCTCCAGAACTTTCTTTTTCCATGCAAAATCAAAACAGAGAAACCCAGTAGAGAAGCTTATTTTTACAGTTTATGTACAGTTTAACTATTCTGCAGAAATAAAAGGTGAGCATGCACAAGGAACATCCTAAAAGAGCAGATGGCTGAGAGGTAAGTAGATTTTTATTTTCAGTGCAAGAAAACCAAAGTAATCTTGATTGCTCTATTTTTATTGACACTGTTGTTTTGATTTACCAAAATATGGGTACGATCTAGTATCAATATCCAACTGAGATGGACAAAGACTCTCTAATTGTTTTAATTAGAAGGGGTGTGTTTATTCAGGCTGGACTGGTGCTGGGTCATCCCTAATATGCACGCGGCCCCGGTACCGGTGATTACAGGCTTTTATTTACAAAAGTATTGAATACAAATACATATTCATAGCTCACTTACCACCCACGCTCTGCTTCTCATGCTAATGAGGAAAAAAGCATGCGTGGTTTGTTCTTTGAAATAAGTCGGTGGTCTTTTTATGAGTAGGGGTCCTGAAAGGGAGGCCAGAATGCATCTTGACCTTTCCTACCTTTCAGAGTAAGATGACAAAAGGGCCAGATGGGCGTCTGTCTGGGCTCTTAGTTTATTGTTTTAGTGAGCCTTTTTGATTTACTATTGTCTTTATCAGGTTTTCTATTTTCTTTCTTAAGCTCAACTGAGTCAGTGTCTACATCTAGCTTTGATAAGGCCTCTCCATTTGCCCTTAGTTTTAGCATGGTCCCTCGTTTGTTTTAGATAGAAATTCCAGTAATGCCAGGTCTTAATTAAAAAACTCTGACTTTTCTAAAATCCAAAACTTTTTAAGGTTTGTGCTTTAGTTTCACTATAGAATAACTGAATAAAAAAAACTGATACCACTTAGAATATTACTTGAAACAGTTTGCTATTGAATTAATTTAACTGTAATATAGTATTAAAAATGAAAAAAAAAAAAAACCAACAAAAAAACTCAAAGCCGAAGTTAAATATTTGTAGACCTCAAGAAAACTGCAGGATTGTGAGTACAGGAAATACAGCAACACTCAGAACAATTTACCAATTTTAACAATTTAACAAATTTAACAATTTAAGAACAATTGTATTTTTATTTAAAAATGCAAGACCTTCGAGTCACACTTTGTTCAGTATCTATTTACGGATCATAAATACAGAATGCATGTCGTGGAATAAAGTTTAATCCTGCATTAATCCTTCTTTAGGCTGTCAGGAAAACAAGCTCATTTTCGGTGTCACATGGTCACTGGCAATTGTTTATCCTGGGGGAGAGAGGAGAGATGGAGCTGGCAGGAGAAGGCAGTGCTCTCCACACGCTGAGCGCCTGCAGCCCAAGGCACCTCTGGGGCTGCTCCTTTTCCCACCCGGGAAGTTCGGAAAGTGGGAATTTCAGGTCAACTGCTATAAAATACCCATGAAAAAAAAAACCCAAACAAATTAAAACTCGTATTCTTGAAAATAACTACAGGAAGCACGAAACCCGGGCATTTCACAAGTCCCTGTGTGCACTACTTCAAAGCAGCAGACAGCCTCAGCGGGGTATCCTGGCGCAGAGCCGGCGGCAGCTCGGCTGTCCCGAATCGTCGGCGCTGTTTGAGCAAGCTCTCCTAGCTCTTGCCCGCTATTTTTACCCTGCGGGCCGCGTTTCGGCACTAGGCCCTGTCAGGGTGCGGCCCCTCATGACCCCGGTCCCGCCCGCGCAG